TAATCTCACAGGAGATCAAAGCGTTCTAATATAAGAATCCTACACATTTCCCCCCAATATTTGTCTAGACTGAAGATTTATGACAGCAGGCAAAAAGATGCAATAAAGTGATGTGGCCTTTTTTTCCTTCAGATTTCATAACTTATTATGAAAATAATACATTCACAGCATTGAAAAAAAGTCAAAGTCTCTTTATCACCCCAGATTCTAAGCTGTCAGATGGTCATATATTGCTCCAGAAAATTCCAATATACATACAATACATACACATCTTCTTTCTTCACACAATGGAAAAATATCATGTGCAGCGCTCTGTATTTTGGTTTTCAAGTAAAGTTTTGAGTGATTTTTTCATTGCTTCACATATGAAGAAATCTCATTATCTTAAAAAGCGTCACAATATTCTTTAAAGTAATAAGGTATTCAATTTTATTTATTATTATTATTTTAATTTAACCAGAGAGAGAGAGAAAGAGAAAGCAAGCCACTAGGTCCAGGACTTGAACTGTAGTCAGCCCTGTGGAAGTCCAGTGCCTTAACCACCACACCATCTGCTGGCTCCAAAAAAGCATCACGATATTGTATCCTAAGGATGAACAGTCCTTGATATGCTACTGTGGGAAAGGTACAATGAACAACCTTACATGGGAGTCTTTGTGCACATTTGGAATTTTGCTTTTAGATAGTTCTTGAATTTGTAATTATTCAGTGAAAGGGTGACATACCTTTCAACATTGATGGTGCTTTCACAATGGCTTTCAAAAGGATCAGACCAATTTATACCTCTATCTTAACAACATAGCTTTAAATGCTTATTTACAGTTTGTTCTCTTTTTTTGTTTTTTAAGAGGTTTTTCGCTATAGGGCGTGTGCGCTCGCCAGAAAGACAGAGAGAGACAGAGACAGAGAGACAGAAAGCGAGAAATCACCCCCCGGGGGGATGGCCACGCTGCAATCCCTTTTCCTCCATTCTCCTCTCGGGATCTTGGGCACACATGCACACGTGCCTGGCGTGAGTTTAAGCCATCGGGTCCAGGACTCGAATCATAATTGACTATATGGGAGTCCAGTGACATAGCCATTATGCTAACTGCTGGTCGCCTTTATTTGTTTTCTTTTCTTGAATCTCCATCTTCCGCTCAATTTTTACTGGGTTTCTGGTTTTTTTTTTTTTTTTCTTAAATGTAAAGAGCTAGTTGTGTATTAATTAAATTAGCCCATCGACCAATATATAGCCACAGATATTATAACTAGCTTTTATTTGCCCTTTGGTCTTATTTGTGGTCTTCTTGCTTTGGATATTTAAATTTAATAACACCTACTAATAGGTTTCTAGATTTTGTGTCTTAACTGAAAAGACTTTGTCTATCATGAAAATCAATCAACTAACCAAGAAATTTTCAAAATTTTCTCCTAGTGATGATGGTAATGATAATAATAGTGTTGAAAAAAAAAAGATGATGACTTTAAGCCCTAACATCTAGAATTTATTTCTAAATCATATAATAGAATCCACTTTATTTATTTTTCTATTTTCCCACTTCGAATCTTGTCACAATCCACATACTGAATAAACATTTTTCTCAGTGGTTGAAAAATGTATCTTTATCACATTCTAGAAAGTTTTAGGCATTTGAGTATTTCTTGGTCTCTATTTTCAGTAGGTTAATCGGTGTGTCTTGGCCTTTGCTAAAATCAAACTCTTTTACTTTCTTTTTCTTTACAATATATTTATAAAGAACTGGAGTTTGCTCATTACTATTTCAAAATTCAGAATTTTTAAAAATTATTGTTGGTACAATATGAGTGATCTTGCTGATTTATTTACAAATAGGTAATATTTGAAAAATATTCAAGAACAATATGTCTTTTCATTTACTTAAGTCATGGCTTTTTTTTTATTCTGAGCAAAATTTAAAATTTTCTTTTCTAAAATTCTGCAAACTTCTTGTTAACCTCATATATTTTCTTCTATATTGCTATTTCTAAATTGTATCATTTATTACACTTTAATTTGAATTAGCTATCTGTATATAGAAAAGCTAATGGATTGTGTAAAATTGTTAAAAGCTACTTTTCTATATTCTTTGATGTTACCATGTTTCCTTTCAAATTGCATGAATTTTCAAGATATAAATAATGATACCAAAAATGATAATTTGCATAAATGATTATTTTCACTTTCTTTACAGTTTTTATCACTTAATAATTTGTGCTGTCTAATAGCACTGGCTAGCACTTTAGAACAATATCAAATAATACTGATATCTATTGACATCTTTCTCTTTTTCCTAACTTTAAAAGTAATATGTATATGCTTCTATTAGGTTATTGGGAAAGACATGATGCATTTTCCTATGCAAAAATGCATCATGACTTTCCTAACGACTCAGTAACATGTCAACATTTCATTGGATGCTAGATTTCTTGTAAGGTTTGGATAAAAATGAAAGTTGACAAAAAACTATACTGCATTCAAATCCACCCCTGAATCTTAGGAGAACTGTATGCATATTGGAGCTCCCAAATTTTCCCTTATCTATCCATCCTGAATTTGAATAAAAACATGTCAAATATCTTATAGTGATTTAAAAAGGTAGTTCTAAACATTGGTGTATGAAACAACTAATTACGTGTAGAAGTAATGGAAAATATTTTCCAGAAAGGAAATTTCTCTGTGTGTGTAGGAAATCTCTCTCTCTGTGAACATATGACGTTGGTAGAAATTCTTAATATCAGAGCATTTTTGTTTGTATTTATACCATCCTATATAGACATTTCCATAAATTTACTAAAGATAAACCTTAATATGCTGTCACCCTCACTTTAGCTTTTATGACCTCTTTTTTTCCTCTTATCATTAAAAGCTTATGTATCTGAAGTCTTTACAAACAAATGAGCTGAAACAAATGAAACTCAATTCACTAGAGATTCTGAAGACATATGGTGGAGTCATCTTCTGAGTAATTAGACCAAGAGGTGAGACAATTCCCTGTAGTAAACTTACTCAACAATTGGATACCCAGTTATTTCTGTAGTCATCAGCTTGTCCGCAGTGACCATATTGAGTCACAAACTGATGGGCAATTATGTAGAGTTACCACCTGATTTTCCAAAGCCATTTATGTTCCAGAAGTACGTGCCCATGTGCTTTTTAAAAAAAGTTGCTTCATCTTCATTCTCTCAGTCTTTTCTGTGGTTTTATTGTCCCAACATCTTACTATGCTCTTTATGTTGTTGGGAGCATTGGAAGTAGATTTCCCTTAAATGCTGGTCTCTACTAGTCTCAGGTTAATCTATCGTGGGCATAGATATAAGTTACTTACAATTTAAGTTTTGAAAACATGTATACATGGAAAGACACATGTCTTTACAATGTAAAAGAACTCTAGGATTCCACAACTATCCTATGTTACTCATTGTGGAATTAAAAAAATAATGCTATCAAAAAAGTTTCCTTTAAAGCCATTCTAAATCCCACATATTATTCAAATCGACTTCATCTTTTCTACGCCTTCAGTATTGTATCTCTGAAAGTTATATTTACAGAGCAATAAAGACAGGAATTTTAAATCTGATTAAACCCATCAGAAAGAGGTTCTATTTACTATGTCTGTTCCTGAATCCTACATTATCACTGTTCTCGGCCACTCTCAACTTTAGATAAGAGAAAGTTAGATTCATTTCTCAATATAGGTTAGGGACACAGACTACTCTGAATCTACACTTACAAATTCCTTTAAACGTGTAAGGAGAAAGTGTGCATGTGAATTAACATTTGACAGCAGTGTAAACAAGTTTAAGTTATCCTGAGTTGAACACGCTCCCCAGAACTCAGGATATTTAGATCTGACTACTACGTAAGTGAAACACATAAATATTTTACTCTTGTGTTTAACATCAGTTCAGGCTATTCACTCACATTATGCATCTTCTTAAGCATAAGCCATGCTTTAATTTCATGCGATCCAGTAAGAGTTCAGTCAAGATTTATTTATCACATTTTACTTTTCAATGCACGGGACAAAATCACCAATCTTTTTTTTTTTTTTTTTTTTGGGGAGGTTTTCCCTGTAGGGCATGCGCCCCCACAAGTGTCCTCGAGGTACATTCATGATATAGCATGTGTCAGAATTCTCTTATTTGTTAAGGCTGAAGAATATTCCATCACATGAATATATCACATTTGGCTTATTAATTCAGGTGTAGATGGACACTTGAGTTGCATCTACTTTTTTACTATTGAATATGGGTATCTGAGGCTGTTTTCAATTATTTTGAGTATATACCCCAAAATAGAATTTCTGTATCATATGGTAATTCTATTTTTATTGTTTTTACGTTTTTGAGAAACTTCCACACTGGTTTCTACTGTGTCTACACCATTTTTTATTCCCCCAGTAGCACACAAGCATTTCAATTTCTCCACATTGTGTTAACATCTATTATTTTCTCTTTTTTCTTTGTTTGCTTAATTGATGGTGGCTGTCCTAACGGGTATGAGGTGATAGCTCATTGTGGTTTTGAATTAAATTTCCCTAAGAATTTGTGATACTGAGCATCTTTTCATGGGCTTATTGGCCATCTGTGTTAAACAAATGTTTCTTCATATCTTTTTGCCTATTTTTTTTTTTTGGAGAGGTTTTCACTGTAGGGCATGTGCGCTCACCAGACAGAGAGAGACATAGAGACAGAAAGTGAGAAATCACCCCCCAGGGGGGATGGTCACGCCGCAATCCCTTCTCCTCCATTCTCCTCTCGGGATCTTGGGCACACACGCTCACGCGACACGAACCGTGGTCGACTACGTGGGAGTCCAGCGACATAGCCATCACGCTAACTGCTGGTTCCCGAAAATCACCAATCTTAACCAAAGAGATTCAGAACTTTTTGCCAACAGATAAATCCATCTTCAATTTCACTAACCGAAATAGCAGCATGACAGCAGGCTGAGGTGACTGACTCTTGAACTGCATTCCAAGTGCAGTTAAAACACTCACCAGAAGTTTCATCCACTCTCTCGTCTACGATGTGGTCCTTCTGATGAACCCATTCGCTATTGCACTTGAAGTAGATCTGGGTGGCAGGGCTGGCTTTACAATACAGGTTCACAGGCTTATTCTTCACAATGTAAGCTTCTTCGGGCTCAATAAGGAAATGTGGCAGAGGCTCAGGTGGATCTGATGGAAAAGTTTCTGGGAGCTCATGAAAAAAGTCGTCATCTAGTAAACAAGAAGAAAGTAGAAGATGGTCAAAACATCGTTAACAACTTGCCACTCATTTCAAAATAAAGACTCGGAAAGGAGCTCACTGAGTGACTCGAGGGCCTGTGTGTACCAGGCAGTATGTTGGATGAAACGAAGGATCTACATTACTGTTCTCATTTTTACACACAGCAAACCTCAACTTCGGGGAGGATAAATAAGTTGACCTGAGCACACCGGCAGTAAACAGCAGAACTGGGATTAGAATTCCAGTGTGTCTTACTCAAAGCCTGTTATCTCCCTATCACTCTAATTTCCACTATACGATGTACAATGTTATCCTTGAGAGTTGTCAAAAACGAGAGTAATGCCATTGGAAAAGTCTATTTGAGGAACCGAAAGCTCTTAGATAAACCTTAATTCCTTTATGAGGTTCTGGGTAGGAACACTAGAAACTTTAATCAGAGATCTTTAAAATCAGATTCATATCTATCTTTATTTTCAAAAGGGGCCATTTGATAAATTAAATATTCATTTATTCAGCCAAAAAATATTTCGTGAACTCAGAATTAGGCTCTCTGTACTAGAAATATAGATGATAATATTGTCTGTTAGTTAGCCATAGTAAAGCCTAGATCCTATAACGATTACCTGATCTTATTCAGAAATTACAAGTTTCCCCAATCTATAGTTTTGCATACCATGGCTTCAGTTATCTGTGGTCAACTGAAGTCAAAAAATAGGTGAGTATAGTACATAATATATATATGTATTTTTTGAGAGATTTTCACTATAGGGCGTGTGCGCTCACCAGACAGACAGAAACATAGAGACAGAAAGCAAGAAATCACCCCCCCCCAGGGGGGATGGCCACGCCGCAATCCCTTCTCCTCCATTCTCCTCTCGGGATCTTGGGCACGCACGCACACGCGCCCAGCGAGAGTTTTAAGCCACCGGGTCCGGGACACGAACTGCTGGTTCCCAGTACATAATATATTTTGAGAGAGTAAAAGAGGGCAACCACATTAATATACCTTTTATTATAGTATATATTACAATTGTTCTATTTTATTATTATTGCTGTTAATCTCATTGTTTTTAATTTTAAAATTTAACTTTATCATAGGTATCCATGTATAGCAAAAAACACTATCTAAGGTTTCGGGTATTCACTGAGGGTCTTGGAACATATATATACCCCATGGATAAGGCGGTGGGATAACCTTATACCTCAAATGATGATATATAACTAGTAAAACCTATTTCTACTGGAATATTATTGAGTGTCATTATAAGGAACAATGGTCTAACTTTTATGGAACTGAAAATTAGCAAACAAATCATTCCCACCCTGATGTTCCAACAACATTGAACAACAACAAAAACCTAAACTCCACTTGATATATTTGCACATTTAATTTCCTAAGTTGATGAAGTATCCTACGCTAATATGGAAAGTTAAAATTCCATGGTCAAAATTTAAAAATATACAAGGTCTTTGTAAGTACATATATTTAGTAGTAAATATGGTATTCGTAAAGACTGGTTGGTTGCTCAGATTTTACCCTGAAACTCACTTCCTTATTCGTTCCGTTGTTGCCCTGTCTGAGGAGCTAGCCGTTGGTGAAGCCAACATCTGCCCACTAGGAGACCTGGCCTGGGACTTCCTTCATTCAGGCTGTGGGATAGCAATCTCAGTAACGATGGCCAATCTCTACCAATCTGTACTGCAGTAAAAATGGGCTCTGCTTGCATCACAGACAAAACTCGTTTTCAAAGCTGCTCCTCCATTGGAAATTCCTGACACTGGAATGTAAATACTTCCTACAGCTAGCTTTCTTTCTCATTTTACCTCCTTAGTTTGCTTTTTTCTGGCAAGGCATCATTTCTAGTTTTTCCATTGTTGAACATCAAGGGCCCAAACTGTCAGTTTACTAAAGAATAACCTTGTTTCCATCAATTTCAACTCCTTTAGTCAATATGCAAGAACACTCAAGACTGCTTAAATAAACATAGCTCAGAAAGGCAGAGGGACGAGAAACTGAGCTATTGACAGATCCATCAGCACAAACGGATGGCTTGAAGGCCTCAGTCAATCTTTTTTTTTTCTTCTAAAGCACTTACTGTTATGTGCGATGATGGACAGTGCTGATAATCAATAAAGCGCCACAAAATATAAGATCCAAATTCTAGAGAAGGTTAGCTATGGTTTTTTAATATTATTATTCATAAAGGCAGAAGGCCAACTAGATTTTATTTATTCTTTTTTACTCTGGGAATATATTTGTACATACAAAAACATGTGAACACATTTAACAACCATGTATTTAACTATGCAAAGTAGAAGTCCTTTCTTTCAGCCAATGTTTTAGAAGGTGAAACTTGTTCCTTCGAAAGGTATAATTGCAAAATATCCAATAATCATATACCACTTTACCATGTTCAATAACGTAGCAAAGAATATGTTTGTATCCTATGAAAGACTTCCTAGAGAGGCACTAAAAATGGACTACCCTCCTTTGCCAAAGCATGGCTACCTCCCTTCTGCTTACTTTATTGTAAATTACTCAAAAGATTAATGGAAGACGAGAAGATCACACATATGTTTTCAAGTCAAAATGGACTCCGTTAAGTGCTGGGAATAAAATGTGATGATTTATTAATGTATTTAGAAAATCCATGAAGAAACTAACTTTGTATTTCAGTAATTTGGAGTTTTAAAACATGCTCATCTCTACAAGTAAATAGAAATGAACCTTTATCTTGGCTGGAGGTTTCATACAATATTGATTTTTTCAGTGTCTATTAACCCGTAGGTACAAGTTACTAAGAAATGATTCTCTCATTAGACTTGTATTCATGTGATAGATTCAGCGTTTCCTTTACATAGCATCCTAATCTCTGTGGAACCCATTTCTTAAAGCTGATCTACAGAGATGCCTTAACCAGTTACGGTATAGACATTTGTTAATTCTTTTTTATAATATTTGTACAGTATATTCAAGTCTGTGCTTTGGGAGAATGTATATTAGGCAATATAATATATCACTTCTACCACTCATCCCAGGTATTGAAAAAGACATTAACAAAGACAAATTAATAAAGGCATGGATGAAAACAATATTTCTTAAAGCTGATCTACAGAGATGCCTTAACCAGTTACGGTATAGTCATTTGTTAATACTTTTTTATATTTGTACAGTATATTCAAGTCTGTGCTTTGGGAGAATGTATATTAGGCAATATAATATATCACTTCTACCACTCATCCCAGGTATTGAAAAAGACATTAACAAAGACAAATTAATAAAGGCATGGATGAAAACAATGGAAGACCCTGCGTTATAGATATGTACAGTGAGATAGATAGGAGAAAATGCAAATAGGTGGGTTATCAGTGGCTCCCAGGTTGTCGTGAAATTCTTGCATTTTCCACTTGCAACAGATAGTCTGAGTACCACAGCCACCATGAAGTTGGCCCAGAAAATGGCTTCACTACCATCTGGCTAAGAAAACTATGAGAGTGCTTTCCAATTCTTGATCTAGACCAAAAAAAAAAAAAAAAAAAAAAAAAAAAGACATGTGTGGGCACTAATTTCTATATAAGGAAAAATTTCCAAATTGTATTTTCAAAATAGTCTTTTTATGAGATTTTATCTTAAAAGTGTTCTTTTGTGGCAATGATGACAGCAACATTAAACCAAGCACTGATTCTATGAGATAGCACAGGTCACGCGCTCATGAAGCTGTCCTGTGCACAAATACCGGTTAATGAAGCATTCCAGTTCATGGAAAGTTTGACAAATAAAATGTTTATGAGGAGATCTGACTTTTGGAACTTTTTTAATGTTCCCAGTTTCCTATGGTGATTAGACATTTTCTAGAAGAAGACATGGCTTTTCAGACCGAGAGGCTTCAATCTGGTGCGTTTGAATGGTGTGCAAGTGAGGGGTACAATTTTATCCATCCATGGCCTTCCCTTGCGATATACTCCAGTGCCCGCTCCATCGACCTAATCAAAGAAGAATAATTCCTGCCAGTTAAAGTTAACTCTTTCAGGGCACCAAAGGACTGTTGTATACGTGGGGACTAGAGATTCTTTTTTTGTTTGTTTTGTTTTTTTTGTTTTTTGGAGAGGTTTTTGCTACAGGGTGCGTGCGCTCGCCAGACAGAAAGAGAGAAACAGAGAGATAGAAAGTGAGAAATCACCTCCCAAGGGGAAGAGGACTGGAGATTCTACCTGGAGCTGGAAGTCTATGGACAGATCAGTTCCCAATGTGCAATTCATTTTGCTATACAAAAAGCCCATCTTTCTTATACTATTAAGGTCATGCTGCAAAATCGGAAGCTATAAAAGAATAAGTTTGACCCATCCCCCCCCACCATATCCTCATAAAAATATCTGAAAGGGTAATAACAGAGTGATATTTCTGAACAGCAACTTCAGAGTCTTCTCCTATTTCTGGCAACATGTGATAATTATCCTAAGGTATATTTATATAAATGGATACCCTCAGCTGCCATTGACTGTATAAGGCTATTTGGCCGAAATAACTTGATTAAATAGCCAAACAAGTTTTCTACATGTAGTTTATTCAAGTTAGCAAAGTAAAATTTCCAAAGTTGCTCTTGTTCCCTACATTGAATTCAGTATTAAAGTTATAACTGCCTTTTATGATTCAGATGTAACATTATTATTCACGTTACCCTCCTCTAACATTTGACTTAATTTTCTGCTTTCCTCTATTACTAATGACATTCCAACAGTCCTGCCATTTTTTATCTCAATATCAGTAAATCTCAGTATTTTTTTTCTGTTATCTTATATGGGCTTTTACTTCTTCATTTATATACAAAAAGAGAAAGCTTTGTACCATGTATTATTTTTATAGACTTTCATTCCCCCTAATTCTTGACAGGAAAATATTATGCTATGAACATCAATCTAGAAAGCTTTAGGTTGCTGGTTTTATTGCTATATATCAAGCCTTAATTTTCATCAACTTAATACATAAGTT